CATCATATGCCACGTCAGCAGACAGTCGCGACCTTCTATCGCGATCCCGGTTGGTATCCCAACTGCCACATCAGCGTGGGCGTCGGGATTGGTATCTACGCCAGCAATACTCTTCTCGCCAGCAATCTTCGTCTTCAACAACAGACCTTCGTCATCATTATCTCGCCATGTGTGCAGTCCCTACTTACCCGGCGCCACCTGGCGCTTGCACACATAGGCCTTCGTTGTCGTGTCGCAATCAGGAGTACAGCTCTGATACCAAATTGCAATGAACCCAAGTCGTGAATACGAATGTTGACAATGTAAGTCCAGATTATCGAGTCGCTACCGCTGATAGTTCCAATAATCGAACAGTATCCAGAAAGAGAGAGAGGTGAGATAATCATACACAAACGAAGAGGAAGGAGGGAGGAAAGACAAGGGAGAGGAAATCACAATGCCCACTCCTTCTCCGGGCTCCTTCCTTTATCACCACCTACAGTAACCAGTAATCTGAACACATATCGAAGTCTTGTCACAATGTGCCACGTGGCACCTTATCAGACCATAATCAGCGCTGGAGCCCTGTCAACATTAAGAATCCAGATATGTATCACAACCTCCTCATAGTCCCGATCTCCTCCTGAAGTGATGATACAACAACCTTGATATCTCCCGGAAGTGATGACTGAACAGAACAGCAATACCAGTCACATAATGTCGCCACCTCAGCAATATGTATCCTACGTGGCAGCGACCATGTCGAAGTGCCAGCCAAAATGCCAATGTCCAACCAGCGTCGCAACATTAAGCCAGCGTCGCCTTCTGCGTCATAGAGTCAGCGTGGACTCAAGGCAGAATGAATGAATGTCAAAGTCAGGGAGTCCACGCTTATGTAGTGTTGACTCGGGGTCTGGACCCCGGCTGCTGCAGACTCCAGCCGTCCAGATCTCAACACCGGTAAGGGTCTGGATTGGTATGAAACTGTATCCTCTTCGGCCTGGATGCATGTCTTGGTACCTGCGCACAACAAGTGGATGTATCCAACCAAGGGCCTGGCGTGGTACCTTTGACTTGACAGTTGACTTTGACTCTTGAATTTCCTAAGCCTAGCACTTGGTCCCACAGCCGCGTGCGGCCTTCTCAAATCTGGGCATGTGCTGGTCACACAGCCCAGCGCAGACCTGTGTTGGTCTGCGTGGCCTGGGGCTGAGTTCTAGGCCCCGGGCTACTTCTGAACAGGGTTATTACACATATGGCATTCCCCGTAGTAACTCGCAATGCATCTAGATTTCAGCGGCGGATACTATCTCCGCGATGCTCTTTGAATTGCGCTCTTTCCAACCAGTCCCTCGCACCTCACCTTCCCCATTAATTTACCCTTTCTATCTTAGTGCCACATTTGCCCGGATGCCCTTGTCTTTTACCCTTGTCGTATCATATGTCCCCACCCGACAGTTAACGACTTCTCCGCGTGGTGCTGCTTACACACGTATGATGCTGCCAATGTGCCCAAAATCGTTCGTCTCCGGCGTCGTCGTCTTTTTTTTTTTTTTTTTTTTAATATTGTCCGTCTTCCCATAACTCAACAATCTTAGTTATATTATGTCCTTTCCTTAATTCGTTTATCCAGAATTTGTGAAGTTTTTTTTTTTTTTTTTTTTTTTTTTTGAGAAGTTGTATCCTTTATATTCAAAAACCAGTGGTCGAGGCCGGGGACCTCACAATTCAACCCGGGGTCACCAAGAAACCATTGCTGGAAACCGGGTCCAGCATCCTGAGACCACTCAACTCTCCACCACAAATTGACTTCTCAAAAATCAAACTTGAAGCCCTGAAAAAAAGGGGCCTAGGAGAAAATTTTGTCTATCCTAGGCACTGGCACTTTGATTGAGTGCTGGAAACCAGGTCCAGCGTCCCCTAATACTATGCTTCCTCAAATGAAATCTTGAATGTACAGAGGAAAGGAGGAAACTGCAAGAGCTTGACTTGCAGATCCTCTACTATGTCCGCTGAATGAGGAGGATTTACCGCATAAAAGACCATGTCAATCCTCGCATCTATCTGCCAACCTCCGCCGTCATCATGAATTTTCCACTATTAAAGTTCAATCCAACTGATTGCAAACTCTGGGTACAATCCTCAGGCCTACTGCGGCCTGCCTAGCCACTTGAACCGTGGTGGTAAACTTGGGTCGGGCCAAGCCTATTCCGGCTTTCACCAATTACATAGCTCCAACTTTCTGTTACTGTCGATGGAGGCCAGTACATTACCCCTGGCCCAAGTTTTCAAGAACCACTTACGGGTTCTCCCTTGCGGATTCAAGCAAGCTCTCCAGTCTGCCATAATCATGAGTCTCAAATTATTTCTGATCTGGTGCTGTTGCTGAAAGACTGTGACTTTTTCCTTTTTAAAGACACCCGTTCCTTGCTCTCCAAATTTCTTGCAATACTATCCCTCTACATACCAGTGCCACGTACCCCAGTCCTGCTGAGAAATGAAGGTTCGGCTTAGGAAGGATACCGAAGACGAGCCAGTCATCATTCCAAGGGAATGCCTCCCCCACCATCCTGGTCCAGTGGGAAGTCCACCACATTCCAATTTCGTCCGCAAGTAGACAGCATACCCATACATGGGCATTGGATTCCCATCCCCAGTTACAACGCACACAAGTGGTCGAAACCTCCATCCCTTTTGCAACTAACCATTGAGCCGTAGGAACCACCTGCAGGGACTGCAACCACATCAGATTAGCAGCCTTTTGGGATGGGATTTTCCTCATACCCTTCCACAGGGCTGTCCAATCCGGTTGTCGAGCCTCCTGGCCTTTAAGTCTGATGAACCTCTTACTGGCCAGGAGGAAGGAGGCACCGGCCTCAGCGTCTGAAGGTAACCAACTCCCACCTTTGTGTTGTACTGAATCAATGGTACCCTCTCCTATTCATTGCTGTCATTTGAAGTCTTGTTTGGCGTTTTGTTCCAACTATGCAACAGCGACTCTGTACAAAAGTTTTCTCCAGCCCCCAGTGGAAGACATTTTCTTTTCCGCTGAAATTTCTGTAAGCCCAACAGTGCTTAGCAGCGTTTGTTCTTGTGCCCGCCGGAGAGGGCCTGCCACAGCATTGGTAACTCCCAAGTGTCATTCTTCAATGCGGAGTCCGTCACTTAAGTCTGGGCCCAACACCTTCCAGACTTTCCGATGGTCAGTCTCTGAGAACGGCCAGGAGCCTTCGCCAGACTCTGTAGTTTCTTTTAACATAGTTTTCCAGTGGGGGGGGATAGCGTACAGAAGGTGGCTTAAGTTCTCTGGAACTTGTCGCAGACGAGGAAGAAGGGCTTTTAATCCATCACTAGTTACCCAATCTTCTACTTCTGGATTCCAAATATGCTTGATCTGTAGAACTCCTTTCTCTACCCAAGCTCTTCTGAAATTCCCATTTACGTCTTTTGCCGAAAAAACACTTCCATCTGGCGAAACTATCCATTGGTTGTCAAACAGATTTTGATTGGCCACTTTCAACCTAGAACTAGGTTGTTTTACCGCTTGTGGGAGGATCTTTTTCCAAGCAAACAAAATACCACGCCAAGTTCTGGATTTTATTCGTCTGTTCAAAAAGGAAGGCATTAGACAGCATTGCCATACACTGCCTTCTGCCATTAAGGCTCATTCTTGGCCCATAATGTACTCAGCCAATCTGATCCAAAGCTTGGAAGGATCTTCGAACATTGCCTTCACTACCCACTTAGCCAGCAATCCTAAGTTTTGGGTATGGGGATCCAACACTCCCAGTCCCCCTTGGCGTCTTGGCAGAGTTATAGCATCCCAGGACACTTTAATGATGAAGCCCTGGTCCTCATCAGCCACCGGTTTCCATATGTATCTGGCGCTGGCTCGCCGAATACTGTTGCACGCCTCCTCACCCAGCAAACAAATTGAGAGGGGAAACCAAAGCACCGAAAAAGCTGCTGAAGACAACACCAGTGCTCTCCCCAACAGGGAGAGCCTGTAGTTTGTTAGCCATGAATGAATTTTTGCTGTCACTCTGTCAGAGAGCAGTTGGTCTTGAGTCTTTGAGCAATTGGAGAGGGAGACTTGGATACCAAGGAACCTCTCCGAGTTATCATTAGGAATCAGACATAACCCCCAGTTCACTTTAAGTTAATATATATTAGGTTAGAAGTAAACGGATTTAGTCCAATTGATTGAGGCTTCCGATAGTGAGCAATATTCTTCTAAAACTCTTCTGAGTTCCCCTAATGAGGCGGTGGTGTTTTCACAGGCCACCGTCAAGTCGTCTGCAATCGCACATGCCTTCCAATGTAGGGAAGGGGACAGCCTCAATCCTGAGATACCCTCATTATTTCTAATATTATCAAGCAATACTTCTAATTGTAAAACAAACAGCAGGGGCGCCAAGGGACAACCCTGCCTCAGGGACCTGGTCAAAGAAAATTTATCCGAGAGATGTCCGTTCAACATCACAACAGATGTGGCATTAGCACACATAGCATGTACCCAATTTAAGAAGCTTGGGCTAAAGCCCATTCTAGACAAGGTAGTGGATACGAATGCCCAACCTGCCTTGTCGTAGGCTTTTTCCATATCCAGCAGGAGGACCGCTACTTCCTTTTTTTCAGCCCCTATTTCAATCTCCGTTGGCAGTTTTCATTTTATCTCCACAAAAAATTTCGTTGACTTAATAGGGGGGACCCTTACCCGACTTAGTTCCTGTTTCTTCTTCTTTACTAGCAGCTAGTAGGAAAAAGTCGCATCCCTTCATCTTTTTCGAACACCTCAATCTGCCCATTCGTAAATCAGACATCCATAAGGAGCGTAAATAATTTTACCTTCTTTCTATTCTTCGGATTGTCGACCAGCAACCTTGGCATCGTCAGATCTGGAATCAACCTGTAAACAAACTTGTCTGCTATTGTTGTCCGCACCAGATTGGTGATTGTTGTTGGCATCGGCGATTTTGGTGATGGGATTGATATAATGTTTATTGAGGCATCATGCAATACTTATGCAATAAAATTTATTTGACTGCTGACTACTGTGCAGAACAACGGTAGTATCTTTGCCTTGATCTGATCTTGTTGTCCTCTTCTGACTGTTACTGGTGTCCTTCTTCTAGTGGTCTTTGATTCTGGTGTTCCCATTGTTCCTTCTAATGTCGACGATTCTGATTGTTCTCCTGAGTCCTATGGTCTTAGAAGTCGCACTTTCTTTCCAACTCAACCTTCTTTGCTTGACAATGCCTGGTGTGCTTTGTCTTTGCTTGTTCGCCTCATCTTCTCTCGTACTTCCTTCCTGATATATTTTATAACCATTATCGACGCTTTCGGAGTTCGATCTTTACCACTGAATTCTCAATGCTCCTACATTCACTCCACTTGTTGTTGTTGTCGTTCCTCTCCCACCTTGCAGGTCGCCATTCCCAAGTCCTCCCCCTCCGTAATTGCCGTATGGATCTATGCCGCTGAATCCGCCTTCGTTTGGGTTGCCACCTCCAGTTCCACCTCCCAGGAGTCCCCTCCATAACCCCCATAGGGTCCACCATAACCAATAGGGCAACCTCCACCTGACTTGAATCCAAATCTGTCTTGCGGAATGAGATACGGCATTGAATTTCCATATCCTCCTTGTGGAGGGAGCTTGTTCGTTCCGATCGGCACCGTCCATGGTCCGAACGCCGAGGGGATAGGTTGTACCGGTACATACCGGGCTTGGCCCATCTGACCCGGTACTGGACCTCCTCTCCCGACTGGTGAATACGCCGAGTTGTTGTAACTGTTTGTTGCTCCATGTTCTTGAATGCCTCCTGTTGCACTCGATTCTGGTTCCACTGCTTGTTGGCCTGGTCGTAAGGGCCCTGCGTACTCTGGCTGCCTTCCCGGCGCTCCTTGAGTGTCTCCTTGTCTGCTTTGTGACCCTGCTTGGTTTGTGTGTTTCGCTTGCACTGCGTTTCTTCGTGAAAGAAAGCTCTGCACCGTCGACATCGTGGAGTTTCCGACGACGCAATGTTGACTGTGAGCGTGTCCCCTTCGAACGTGACGACTGAAATTTTCTCCTTCATATTTTGACGTGCAGATGGCTCCACGTCAAACTTGAGGTTGATCAAAGATTGCTTCTGCCAATCCGGTTCTAGTGAATTAACACGAATCACTAGGCCAACAGCCTTCGACACCTGTGCCTCCAAATATAGCATTGCACCTAATGGCACTTGCACAACTACTACCGAAAAATTCGCTTCCTCTTCCCGTCTCCTTTGCTCCCTTAGTTGCGTTTGTGTAAGCCACCGCTTAAACTCCAACACGTATCTTATCATGCACAACATCACTTCGTATCTTCCTTTCATCATGAGCCAATCTTTTACCTGAGTGCTCTTTGCCACATAGGATACGACGTCCGGGCTTTCCACTTTCACCCTACCTCTTCTAAACGTTGTCGCTTCAAAAGTCCCATCTTGTAGACGGTCATCATCTTCATAGGCTCTGACCGCATCATCCTTGATCTTCTTAGGTAGAAATTGTACCCCTTCTCTAAAGATCATAGTCACCATGTGGTCGTTTAACCATTGAACTTTTGTTTGATCGATCCTTGTGTTGACTCTGAATGTTGCTTCACGCCCATTTACCGTCATCTCACCTGGGTCTATTGATCCTGTGAAAATTCCTTCTTCATAGCACAGTCGTGTTAGATCTCGTATCCGATATTTATCCCCCTTCATCGATTGTTCTGGTGTCGGGGGGGATCGCGCCTCCCTCACTTCGTTCATCTCCACCATCTTCGCTTTCCTCCTCACTTCCTACTTCAACTAGGTTCGGGTTGCCATCAACTCTAAATGTTTTCCTTCCACTTCGATTGGAAGTAGTTGCTACTTACTTCAACTTCGCTTTTCTATCTTAAATTCATCCTTACTAATCCTTAACCTTATGTGGGGTGCGGATACCGGATGCCTGCGAGTATCTCCTCCATGGTTTCCGCCATGACCGATATGACAGAGCATATGATGACGGATATACCCTCTACCAAGGCGTTATCACGGTGGTAGTTGCCTTCGTCAGGTCACTCCTTCCATTGTCGGATGAACGTGTCTGGTCTGAGCGCAAAAATTACCGCCGGCGGAGCCGCGCCGTTTCAACCCCCCCTCAAGACTGTCATAATAAATTCGACAGCCTCCCTTTGATAATATATCGATTGACTAGCTTCAAGTATAACCATGAAATTCTGATTTGCATTCATTATTACCAAGCAGTCTGGAATATCGTTTGTAGCAATTCCTTCAAAGCATTTTTTTTTTAATTATTTTATAATGCGGCACTTTGCGAATATGTTGTGTTGTATCTAAAGCTTTGAGTGATAAGTTTTCAAAGTGTTGAAAATGCGCTTGTATATGACAAATGTGCTTCCAACTGGTTAAAAAACCTCCAATCCATTTATGATTTATCCTACCCCTTAAGCAGCATTGGCCACGAGGGGAGGCCCATGTTCCGCTGTGCGCCGGAATTGGGTTGAAGTTTTGATACGGGCCGGTGGATGAAGGCGGTCGAGGGAGGGGGGCGTGCAGAGCGGTGCGCGTACTGTATTGTTCACAGCGCGCCGGAAAACAAGACAGCGCGCCACGGGGCCCAGCGGCGGCAGGCGTCGATGCGAGGGAATATGTCGAAGCGCCCGCCGTCGGATAGCAAGAAAGTGTTGTTTTGTGCCCCCCCCTCCTTTTTTAAATTCTGTTTTCGATTATTTTTTTTTTTTCTCCCTTCTTCTCTTTTATTTTTCCCTCCTTTTCTTTCTTATTTTCAGCTCTATTTTTGGCGGCGTTTTTTTTTGTTTTTGGTGTTTTCGTGCAGGCGGCGACAAAACAAAAGAGGCAACTTCCACAAAGAAAAGCGGGCGGGAAAACGAAAAAAAAAGTTGGAGGACCCGCCCGCCCACCATACGCACGCATGCGCGCGCTCCCGCCTGCGTGCCCACCCACCCACCCACCCACCCACCCACCCACACGCACACACACACACTAATATATTATATGTTAGTATTCGTATTTGAAGCTTGCTCACAGTGGTTGTGGTCGGGTCGGGGTTTGAACCCACGCACAAATTTTGAAATACCCAATTGCCCGATCAGATAACCACTCAGGTGGATAAGGTCCCTGTTTGTTTTTGGGGACTGCTTTCTTTTGAAGTGTATCCGACGTCAGGTCGCTTACACGTAAGGATGTGTCTGTGTGTCCGAACCCTAACGTTGCATAGTCTGGCGGGCGAGTCTAGTCCTGCAATTTTCAAGCACCAACTTTGGTGATTTTTCGTGCTCAGAGTAATTAATCAAAAGATCTAAAATTTTCAGATCCTGTAGATTAGATTCCGCTCTTTCTAGAACAAATATTAGAAAGAAAAAAAAAACCGTGAAATAAACGCCGCGCCGATTCGTTGTGTTTTATTTTTAACAGCCCTACGACGTGTGGGCCAAAGGAGAAAGTACCCCAACTTCCGCAATTTTTTACGTTGAGAAGGAAGATTCAAATCCGCTGAAAATATAAGGGTCTACATGTTTGGTCTTAATCTTTCCACGAAAAATGTAAAAAAAAAATATATATATATTTAGACCGCAAAATAAATGTCGTGCCAAATGGTCTCATTTTCGTTCTTGGCACTTTACCTCGTGTGGCAAGTGTGTGTGTCCGAACCCTAACGTTGCACAGTGTGGCAGGTGGGTCCAGTCCTGCAATTTTGAACCGCCAACTTTGGCGATTTTTCGAGCTCAGAGTAATTGATTAAAAGATCTGAAATTTTCAGATCCTATAGATCAGATTGCGCTCTTTCTAAAAAAAATATCAGATTTTTTTTTTTTTTAAATGTCAAAAAAACGCCTCGTCGATTCGTTGTGTTTTCGTTTTTTACCCCCCTACGACATGTGGGCCAACGGAGAAAGTACCCCAACTTCCGCGATTTTTAGCGCTCAAAAAAATGACTCAAATCCGCTGAAAATTTAAGGGTCCGCAGGTTTGGTCTTGATCTTTACACGAAAATTTCAAAAAATGCTTAAAAAAAAAAAAAAAAAAAAACGCTTAAATCGAGAAGGAAAAAAAAAAACGTTCACACCACTAAATAAATGTTGACCCAACCACTCCAAACACCTACCAACCCAGCCACTTCAAGCACCTACCGATCCAGTCACTCCAAGCACCTATGCCGACCAAGCCACTCCAACCACCTACCGACCGAACCACTCCAAGCACCTAGTATACGGACCGAGACAATCCAAGCACCTACCGACCGAGCCAGTTCAAACACCTATACGGACCGAGCCACTCCAAGCACTTACCGACCGAGCCAGTCTAAGCACCTACCGACCGAGCCAGTCCAAACACCTACCGACTGAGCCAGTCCAAGCACCTACCGACCGAGCCAGTCCAAGCACCTACCAACTTAGCTAGTCCAAGGACCCACTGGCCGAGCCTGTCCAAGCACCTACTGACCAAGCCAGTCCAAGCACCTACCGACCGAGCCAATCCAAACACCTAACGATCGAGTCAGTCCAAGCACCTACCGACCGACCCACTCCAAGCACTACCTACCAAGCCACTCCAAGCACCTACCAACCAAGCCACTCCAAGCACCTACCGACAGAGTCACTCCAAGCATCTACC